TAATGACAAACATGTCGAAATACCTTGCAGAGACACTCCTTGAGAGACACTCCTTGAAAGACACTCTTACACAAACTCTTGCAGGGACACTCTTGACAAGACACTCTTGGAGAGAGACTCTTGAAGAGACTCTTGACCATAATACATTTCTTGAACGACAATCTTGGAGAGAGACTCCTTAAGAGACACTCTTGGCAAGACACCTCCTTGATAAGACAACCTTGGAGAGATGCTCTTGGAGAAACATTCTTGGAGAGACACTCCTTGAGAGACACTTTCACCCTTGGAGAGACACTCTGGGAGAGACACCTTTGGAGAGACACTCCTTGAGAGACACTCTTGGCAAGACACTCCTTGAGAGACACTCTTGGGGAGACACTCTTGGAGAGACACTCCTGGAAAGACACTCTTGGCAAGGCACTTTTGGAGAGACACTCTTGGAGAGACATTCTCGACAAAACACTCCTTGACAGACAGCCTTGGAGAGACACTCCCTGAGAGACACTCTTGGAGAGACACCCTTGAAAGACTCTCCTTGAGAGACACTCTTGGCAAGACAGTCCTTGAGAGACACTCTTGGGGAGACATTCCTGGAGAGACACTCTTGGGGAGACATTCCTGGAGAGACACTATTGGCAAGACACTCAGACACTCCTTCACCGACACTCTTGGAGAGAGACTTTTGGGATTTTCTGGGAGACAGTCTTGACAAGATACTCTTGCAGACACACACAGACACATTCTTGGAAAGACGCCCCTTGAGAGACATTACTTGAGTTAGATAGTTTTCGCGAAATAATTGGTAGAGAGAGTTTAGGACAGGCGTGAGAGGTCAGCTATATTGTGGGAACGGGATAGAAAGTCATAATAAGTCATACTTGTCAAACAAGTTCTGGCAAGTCTTGCACGGCACAACTCACAACAACACCAGAAGGGAAACCAGAAGCGTCTTGAATTGCTTCCCCGAAAAAAATGCGCGAAGAAACTAGAAAGCCGCAAACGTTTCACTGTTTGCAGCATCTTTCGATTCTTCACGGACACAGTCCAATGCGAGCAGCAAAAGCACGCCAACACCAGTCCTCCAAAGCATCAGCACTTGCCACGAAAATAACGAGGCATACGTCTCAAGTGCTGCGCTTGCCACGCGACATGAGCCGGGCTGAAACATGAGAGCAGCGCGAAAGTATCGCACGTGTCACACAAAATGCACACAGGATGAAGTATATGACACATGTAAAACGTGAATTGTAATGCAATAAACGCAAGAAACTTGACCAAAAGGCATAATTTTCAAGTACGGTTGGGAGACTCGCGTCCCGGACCACCATAGCGACCAAATTGCAGACGGTTGCGAACACAAGCGCAACGTCGAGCGAACACACCTCAACCCCCAATCCCCGAAAGTGAAACGGGAAGCTAGGCATTTGTGAACAAATTTTTCTTATTTGGGAGGACTTAAAATTTCAGACGTACAGCAAGTATCACCTTTTTGTGATTTTCTTTGGTCAGATTGGTTGTCTATGACCCAGTGACCTGTTTGATCAAAGGACGGGATTGGATTTGTCCCGCAGTTCCCAGGTGCCTTCATGGAGTGCCAAGCGCCGCGATCATTTGGTTGCTTCAGTGCGCTTCCTGGTCTTCCGATTCCGCTTGGATTCGTGGTGGTTTGGAGTTCCACTCCTTGTTCGAGGGCCTTTGATCAACTTGCCCGTGGTCTTGGCCACGGATTACCCACCAATCCAAGTGGTCTGCATTGCGATGATTCTGACCACTACGATGGTGCCTTGAGCACAATAGACTTGGAAGGCCTATCCAGCACTTTAAGCTAGAACATCGTCAGTCACATTCTGCTCAGGTAAGAAGTACAGTCTCGCAAGTGTGAAACTATCCTTGAATGTAAGTCCTCAGCTTGGTGCGCAGTCACATGAGTGCATGTTCGAAAGAGACACTACATGACACTACTTCAGAGCCGATGCTGGAACCAAACTCCGCTGCAACACAGCTTCCGGCAGCGTATGGGTTTGGATTTTCGAATTACACCCCCTTCCAGGTCACAGCTTTCTTCGTGGGGAGAACAAGTTTCTCGGGATGAGGATACTTGCATAAACACAAATGCATGCGTAGCTCCTGACTTCGAACCCATAGTTTTCCTATTGAGCTGACAAGGCTCCGTGTGACACTGACACCTCATGGTTTTGCAGTTAGTGAGTGTAAACACCAGTGCACGGCCCATGAAGTCCTGCACGTGTCGGAAGGCACCTTTTGCACGATGATTTCATGGTGAGAACACATACAAAAATGGAGCAAAGATGTGCAGAATACCACCTGGATTTGATGGTTTTATGGTGAGCACAACATCCTCTCATCTCTACAGCTTCTCTCTCTCTCTCTCTCTCTCCCTCCCTCCATCTACAGCTTACATCTTCTTCACATGTGTTTCGCTACATGCTCTTTACAACTTCTATTCAGTTCACTCTTCTGTATATCTGCTTGCTTCCTGGATGTGCTGCTTATTGGATTATATGCCATACTTAACATGTTTTAACATACCCGTCAACGCTCTCGGGCCAACCGTCGCCTAGATTCTCCATCCTCGAGAGTACCCAAAATTGGGACCATATTTGTACTTTGTTGAGGCATGAACAAAACCGGGTTTATCAGGGATTATCAACATCTCATGTGGGAATATGAATTAACCACTATCAGGACTAGGCCAGAAGTTTTTTCAGTGAACAGTTGGTTTATTATTTAGAACTGTTTGGGCTGAGGTCATGCAGATGCTTGCCTGGCCTTGGAAGGTGCAGCCTTCGGCCGAGATTGTTGCTGATTGACCCATAGTCGGGGCTGTTTTTACACCGAGTGGAGTGACTGGGAAGTCAGCCCTGCTCCAATAGCAAAGGATCCGATGTGTGTGTCATCGAAGGAAGCTTAGAAGTTAAGCTTCCGACTTCTCGAAAGATGCAACCAGCCCAGTGCGAAGAGTCAGAGGAGAGAGAGTCAGAAGAAAGAAGATCCAAGCGCGCGAAATGTTAGGAAAGTCGCGAAATGCTATGTTTTTCAATGGTTCGTGTGTCCGGATGGCCCGAAAGGTAGGCTCGCTAAAGCGGCGGGTGCGGAGCCATTTGGTGGAAAGGTTGCCCGAAAGCAGCGTGCCGCCTAATAGTCGCGAAGCGCATTTGGAAGTCAACATGCTTAAAAAATTGAGGGGCTCCAGCGCTTTTGGATGATGCGACTTCGAAAAAGTGCAGGCCGCTGTGGCACGAAGCACGTGCGGAAGTCAAAGAATCAAAAACTGACATCCTCGGAGAATTTTTTGCAAGATGCACCTTCGAAAAAAAGCACGCCGTGGTGGCGCGAAGCACATTTGGAAGTCAAGAGTGTGAAAATATGTCACCTTCGGACCTTCGGACTATTTTCGGACGTTGGAAATTCCAAAATGTGTGAAGTCAAAACGCAAGAAATTGAGGGTTTTTGGGCATTTTTGTCTGTCAGAACAGACAGAGATGGATGAATAGCTAACATAGATCTAACATAGCTAGATGTTGTCAAAGACAGATTCAGAAATAGCTACGATAGATCACATGAAAGATAGACAGAAATACAAAGATACAGATATTCAGATGGATAGGCATGATAGATAGATAGATAGATGGATAGATAGGTAGATAGATAGATAGATAGATAGATAGGTACATAGATAGATAGATAGATAGATAGATGGATAGATGGATAGATAGATAGATAGATAGATAGATAGATAGGTAGATAGATAGATAGATAGGTACATAGGTACATAGATAGGTAGATAGGTACATAGATAGGTAGGTAGGTAGATAGGTCGATAGGTAGATAGGTAGATAGGTAGATAGGTCGATAGGTAGATAGGTAGATAGGTCGATAGGTCGATAGGTAGATAGGTAGGTAGGTAGATAGGTAGATAGGTAGATAGGTAGATAGGTAGATAGGTAGATAGGTAGATAGGTAGATAGGTAGATAGGTAGATAGGTAGATAGGTAGATAGGTAGATAGGTAGATAGGTAGATAGGTAGATAGGTAGGTAGATAGATACATAGATAGATACATAGATACATAGATACATAGATAGATAGATACATAGATAGATCGGTAGGTAGATAGTCAGAGAAAGAGAGAAAGACAGAGAGAGAGAAAGAGAGAGAAAGAGAGAGAAAGAGAGGAGACCTCAACCATCTGTTGGTCCACTTCGCTCTGCCATCCGTGATTCACAACAACCAACCTCTCCTTTAGGTTCATTATTTTTGAAACTTCCGCCACCGCCTTGTGCGGTACTACTGGTAAATTAATGTGGGTGGTCCAGTGTACCAAGTGCTCCTCCCTTGCCTACCCACATGGGCCGCAATCTCAAGGGTGTATATATTGTAAGCTGTTTATTTTGCCCTGTGATGATGATCAATTCGCATCTGTCGGGAACTTCTTGGGTACAAATGCCTGGCATGATATGAATAACTTGTCACAAGAACCAAACCCTAAAACGATTGAGGCAACCACAAAGTGGATCAAAGCAGTGGGTTTCACACTTCGGTCAGGGACTATGTCGCGACCGCCAACCAGCAACACTGGGAGACCATTCTATGCTTGTCCTTCCAACAAAGGATGGCTGCTCATTTCAGTCCAAAAAATCAATCCAAAAACTTATAGACATGGAATAATCCTGAAGTGAGACATCTGAAGCTACTCTACTTTTTTTTGGTCGTTCCCCATGCCGAACTCGCCTCTGATTTCCAGTTTGGATCTTTTAGTTGGACGGACCAGTCCATAAAGCCAAGAATATGTGCAAGGAAATATTTGTGTTTTGCTGGCTGGTCCATCCTGCCATATGTGTATATATATATATGTGTAATGTGTATAATTACAGCTTGAGTATTGTACAAGAACTCACTGTATAATAATTTGAGGGGCTCGAATCCAAGGCGGGCTACATATTTTCAGTTGTAGTAAACACATAGGGCACACTAACCTTATGAAATTCAGACCAGCCCAGCTGTGCAAAAAAAACAACTTTCTCTTGTCAAATCTGCCAACTCCACCTTGTTACCTCACTTTTGCTTGCTCCAAATTATGCAGATGCCTGCAATATAAAACTAAGAATACCCTAAGAATTTGAGGGACCCTCAGCCTGTTGTGGTGCAAATTTGCCTGCATTTAAAAATAAGAATTTGAGGGACCCTGGGCCTCAAGCTTTCGGATTCTTCACCAGCGCTCGGGCTGTATATAATGTACAAATACACATATATTACTGTATGTATGGCAAAAACAAACTACCTACTGACCTACTCAACATTGCTCAACCAAGGTTTATCCAGCCACGCAAGTGTAGTTCTGGCAATGGACACCACAACTCCTGGATTCTCCATCCCTTCTCTCGGTCTTACCTGCTTGTCCTCTGCAGGTATGTACTTAAATGTCGACCGTGTACCTGGTGCTTTAAAGACACCAAACAGCAGTTAGGAGCAATTCTCGGCGGAACGAAATGCCATAATCTTTCTGCCAACTTCTAACTTCAAAAGGAATTTGTTTCGAAGGAATATTGATTTTACATGATTTCAACATGATAAAACCACTTTTCCTTAGGTGATGCTCCCTTGGACCGGTTTCTACTCTGCCAGGCCACTCATCTCTGGTAGTTTCAACCCTACCCATAGATGCTGGTTATATACCCAAGATATCCCTAATAATTATGTACCTACAAAATATATCAAAATATATCAAAATATCTGCATTATATCTGCATTTTAGAAGCTTCATCCCCATTCATAGGGCCGTGCCAAGATTCCATGGGAAATGTTCCATTTCGCTCTCACCCCTCCAGTGCCGGCCTAAGGGCCTTGGCTGACAGATGCGTTTCACAGGGGTTGAGGCCGCTTGTGCCTCGCGCACTTTCCTGCGGGTTCGGGATGGATTTCAGTGATTTTCTGAAAAAAAATGGAAAATCACTGGAATTCGTGGATACCCGGAAATTATGCAATGCAAAAAGAGAGGATGTTTGCAATTCGATAATCATTTGATAATCATTTGTCGAAAAAGGAGGCATACAAACGATATCACGTGGAAGGAGGTGAGAAAATGACGGATCTTCTCTGAGAAAATTGGCCGTGTTTGGGAGAGTTGGAGGGCCCAAAAATCTGTTGGAAAAATGCTCCGATTCTGCTTAGATTCCCAAAATGTTCTCGCATGACACACCAACACCTTTTTCCCTTCCATCTTCATGCAGTGCAAATCTCACATCCGCAGCCGTTGCAGCCAATCAATGTTGTAGACCTGCAGCAACTGTCACTCTTGGAGTAGATATCCCAGGCGGCGGCCCAGAAACATTACCCTTTTCAACTCCTCTCTACAATGGGAGCATTAGTTTTGTCTGATAATTCAAGGAAAACCCAAACTCAATGGTTTATCATGCTTTTCCCCATGGAAAAAGTCACAGATTGGGTGGTATCCGCCAATTTTTGGATACATCCAAACATGTAGGCGCTCACAATCACGATACTGTAGCAACTGTATCACAATGGGGAGGCACCCACGTGAATTCAGGCCTCCGGGCGGTCCGGGCGTTTCTGGCTGGGATGATGACCTGGATGACCCATGGTTGAAGGGAACTGTATGGAACCGGTAAAAAAAAAACTGTATCTAAATGGAAAAGAACATGGTCTCCTGTAAAATGTCCTGTAACAACCAATACATCATCCTTTCCACATTGAGCTTGGTAGAGTCCAGAAAACCATTGTACCCAATAACAAAACAAGACATCGTGCGTTGCCGGAGAAATCATTTTCAGCTGACGGGATCTTCGTGGGCTTGATCGTGGACATTCGATGTGTCATGATGCTATGTCGCCAACTCCCAGTTCCCAAAAACCACCCAACCACTTCAAATTTGGATTTTTCGTTAGTTGTGTTGGTCGTGTATGGAAATATCTAGACCCTCCAAGTACCCATAAAAACGGCTTCAAATATTAAAAAGGGGTAAAGCAGCAGCTTGTATGCTGTCAAAAAGGTACCTGAAGAGTCCAGATATATGAACCATCTTGAAACCACCAGCTTGCCATTCATCATCATTAATCACCCATTTAATAAGCATGGGGACTATGATGAGAAATCATCAACTGTTGGGGTAGCCTATTTTCAGACCCAGCCTCAGCCTCAACTTTTTGGACCACCAACGGTCACTCTTGGACCAGCTGCGGAGACCGCCCGCGTTTCCCGCGAGCGCAAGAAACAAAGAGGACCAAAGACAATTGGCCAATCACGAATCCATCTGAAAGCTATTGATTAATGGTGATGAATGGTGATTCATTAATGATTGATGTTAATGTAGAATAAAGATCTATTGATAATCCATGTCATTTCTTCATGTTCACTTCTATATATAAATCATATAATATATATGTATTTTTTTTTTTTGCTGCAAGCCGGCGCTATCATTAGTCCGAATCCTACCCGGGCTGGGAAAAGCTGCCGCTAACCAACCGTTTCGCTGTCAGCTCAAAGCTTGCTCAACGTCTTTTGCAAGTCCTGGGCTTTGATCAAGCCGTGGCACATATTGACACATCACAGTGGCACATATTGACAAATATATGTTATCTATAGCGTCCAAGTCATATCACATGAAATGTGATGATTATATTACTACTACATGGGTGTGCCTGAAAATAGCCCCTCGAACAATTCACCGTGGATGTCACAATTCTGAGCCATGGCCCATATTTATCTATATTTCCATATATGTCCATATGATTTGATCAAATGTTACCAATTGTTCCCACAAGTGCAGCCCAGACACCATCTCTCCGTTGAAGGTCTGGCCACCTTCCCGCAGAAACTTCTGCATGCGAGCTCGGGCTTCGGGGCCCCTGAGGGATTTGTAGAAGAGCATCAAGTTCTCCTTCAAGGCCTTGGCAGTTTGGGCTTTCGCCCAGGATATGCATCCTGTCTATTCAATTTGGGTAAGGATTTTTTGGAGATTTAAGGTGTTACCATGTGTTACCATAGATCCAGCTAACACCCGTGGCGAGGTCCTTTGAGGTTGTGGTCCTACTTTGGCATGAATTGTGTCTTGTGATGTCTGGTTGCTAGTTTAAACCCATCACCCAAAAGAGAAATAATTGGGATGATCATCATCCCAATTTTGGGGATGGACAATAAAAGAGATTTGAAACCAGAGGTTGTCAGGTCACTACCCAAGGCCATCCCCAGACATCAACCTCCCAACATTCACCAATATCCAGAAAGATTCAAAATCAGCTCCGTAAAAACCTCCGGTTCAGTCTGCCCCCGGGAATGTCCAAAATCTACATGTTCGCTGGTCAAACCAACGTTTAGGTTACATTGTCCTCAAAAAGATCTCATGCATACCTTGAATGTATTTTTGTGAAAACCACATTCTTGTTTTCGTTCAAAATCCGATTTTTGCTGGTACATATTTAGGAAAAAAAACAAACAATTGTCTCAGATTTCTTCGTTTTTTTGGTGTGAAACCCAGCATCTTTCCTGGTTAGATCCCCAACTTGTTTGGAGTTTCTTAGGTGACATCCAATTGTTTTTTTCCTGCTCGTAAAGTTGCCAGGAACTCTCACAAAATCCTTATAGTTACAGCATCTATCCTGTCTTTCTCCGGTGACAACCACATTGCCAATCTATTACAGTAATACCCCCAAAACAACATGTTAGCTGCTTCGTATTCTATTATAAATTATAGTTATAGTAATCCGAAACCAAAAAATAGAACATGATCATCCCAGAAAGATCGACAAAGTAATAGTGCCTTCCCACTAACCTTATCACTACCCTTACCCTCTGGTAATTTAACGTAGCTATGGAAAATCACCTTTTTTTAATGGGAAAACTCACTATAAATGGCCAGAGGGTACCACCATACTAGTAGCATCTTACTGAGTCCCACGTTACTTCGGCACCTCCGTGTGCGGCATCCGCTCCGCCGCCAGCAGCGCCACCTTGGCGCAGCGGACGGCCTCGCACGGCCAGCGGCAGAGCCGCGCCAGCAGCGCATCCAGGTGCGCCTCGCGCAAGGCGCACGGGAAAATGTGGGGAGTTCACTGATTTCACCTGGGAAAAATGGGAATTTCGAGAAATTCGCTGATTCCATCTACAAGTAGGATAATTTTCGAGTTTAGGATGATTTTAGTTGTAAAACTCGATATTAAAGCACTACAATTTGATTTTTCAGAGGGTTTTAATGGAATTGAGATGATTTCAGTAGCAAGATCTTCAATTGAAGTAGCAAAATGTGGGACTTGGCCCAGAGAAGTAGGATTTCGCCTAAGCGAAACTACGGGGTATCAGGATCCGTGAGTTGGTGACTGGTGATTATCCCAACATATTCCCCAACTTTGGATGTGATCATCTATCAATGGTCGCAAAATGCCAGCTGCATGTGACATGACCAAAAAGCAGCTACGGCAACACGAATCAATGAAGAAATCATATGCACCTTCTAGTCCGACTGTAGATAGACAGATAGACAGATAGATTAGATAGATTAGATAGATTAGATAGATTAGATGGATTAGATAGATTAGATAGATTAGATAGATTAGATAGATTAGATAGATTAGAAAGATTAGATAGATTAGATAGATTAGATTAGATAGATTAGATTAGATAGATAGATTAGATGGATTAGACAGATTAGATAAATTAGATAGATTAGATAGATTAGATAGATTAGATAGATTAGATAGATTAGAAAGATTAGATAGATAAGATAGATCAGATAGATCAGATAGATCAGATAGATCAGATAGATGCGACAGATAAGATAGATAGGATAGATAATATAGATAAGATAGATAGATAAGAAAGATAGGAAAGATAAGAAAGATAAGAAAGATAAGAAAGAAGGATAAGAAAGAAAGAATGATAGATAGATTGATTGATTGATAGATAGATGAATCAATAGAAGGATGGATGGATGGATGGATGGATAGATGGATGGATGGGTGGATGGATGGATGGATGGATGGATAGACAGGCAGACAGAATAGAATAGAATGGAATAGAATAGAATAGAATAGGAATAGGAATAGGAATAGGAATTTCATAGAATAGATAGAATAGAATAGAATAGAATAGAAAAGAATAGAAAAGAATAGAAAGAATAAACAAGAATAGAATAGAATAGAATAGAATAGCATAGCATAGCATAGCATAGCATAGAATAGATAGATAGGATAGATAGGATAGATAGGATAGATTAGATTAGGTTAGATTAGATTAGATTGGATTAGATTAGATTAGATTAGATTAGATACATTAGATACATTAGATACATTAGATACGTTAGATACATTAGATACACTAGATACATTAGATAGATTAGCTAGATTAGATAGATTGGATAGATTGGATAGATAGGTAGATAAGATAAGATAAGATTAGATTAGATTAGATTAGATTCGATTAGATTAGATTAGATTACATAGATAGATTAGATAGATAGATTAGAAAGATAGATAGATGGATGGATAGATAGATAGATAGAGAGATAGATATAGACATGTAGACATATTATATACGACATATGTTTGTATATAACTGCGTGTTTGTGTCTATGTACATACAGTGTATATATATATATGCCACAGATTGCACCACCCAGATTCATGATGTTCTAAGTTTCCCTCATTCCACAGGATAACCTGCCAAGATAGTCTTCTTCACCTCGGAATGTCAGAACGTTTGAAGGGCAACTTCAGCTGCCTCCAACTGTTGCTTGTCCTGGAAGCAGCGATTCAACAAGCCTCGGCTGGGGGGAAATGACCTGGGCTCGGTTGGTCAATTGGGACTGTCATAGGTGGGATGCTGTGACATATATATATATATTATGTATTATATATTATTATATCATATATATATATATCATATATAATTCCCAGTCTCCATGTTTGGCTCACGATCGTCAGACATCCCCTTGTCGGCTGGTGATTCAAAATTTGGTCTTGGAAGATGATTTTTGGTGCAGTAAAAAACGAGAAACCCCAACGCTCAGCTTGCTCCGCATCAATATCATCGCCAGATAACACCACCTGCGCAGTCTGGCTGAGTGGCAGATTTCAACAATAATGCTCGTGTTATTATGTTTTCTTTGTGTTCTTCCTGGTAAACCAGGTCGTAGCATCCAATGAAACCACTTCTTTTGGAGCTCAACTTCACCGCTGTTCAAATGCCATCATCCACACAGGAGTTCAGCCTAAAGAAATGAATGTTTCACTGTTCATTGCTTGTCCAGTGAGAAAGCATTCGAAGCAGATAGGGAGCTTATGAGACTATTGAATGCGGGCTTGGTTATTAAACAATGACGAAGGAGGTGTTTTTGTTGACTATATACACTACAGTACCACCGTGTAGTAGTTTCTATCAAAATAGGGACGACTGGATCTGGAACACAAGCCACTACTAGAAACTCGATCGCCTGAGAATCCGACATTCAACAAATAAAGTTATTGAAGCAGACCGAAATGCTCGACAACGCAATAAGGTCGGCAAAAGAAATATTCAAAACAAATGTCAACTTTCAGAGCCGTGTTTTGCTGGTGATTAGTGATTGTTCTGGTTGGGGATCATGATGATCATTGTATCTACATACATAATATTATATATATATATACATAAACAAGTGCGTAAATATAAAAAGAGTGTGTGGGTGTGTACAATTTGATTATATAGATCATATCAAGTTCAGGCAACGGCCCCTTATACTATCATGTAGTTGGATACCAATGGTTCCTTAGCTCCCTCCATCTCACTCCTCTCCGCCAAATGGAATGAAATAATAATTATCATGGTAAACCCAAGAATAAACCTGCAATTGGCATTCAAAACACGTGTCTGAAACAATTGATGTCCGGTGATTCATGGTATATTTCAATAAAAAATGGGGGGCGGTTTACCACATTCATGGGATCAACAATAAATCACATTCATATCCAACTAAAATCATTAAAATCCCACGACATATCCAGGTACCCATGGCCCACAAACCCGGAGGCCGGCCCGGACACCTCCATGGCCCGTGCTGCACCGAGCACCCGGCGCAAGTTCACACAGGCGCCGCCCCCAGGGATGATGCCCAGGGGAACTTCCATCTGACCTCAGAATCTGAGCCGATCTGGGAATCTCTGGGAATCTCAACAGATCTGAACCATTCGACTAACCCATGGGGCCCATGGGGAAAAAGAAACATGGTAATGTAATGTAATGTAATGTACCAGATTTATCCAGATTTGGGGATCTCATGGATTTCCACAGCTGAATTTTCGATGGAAAGACAAAAGGTGGCTATGATGTTCCACCATTTGTGGCTTAAAAATGAAATTGCTTACAGGGGAAGTTTTTCTGAAAATGGAGAGTCAAAAAAAGGAAAAATGAAATTTACCAGCAATATATTTTTAATACAGATATTGTGTAGCAAAATCTTAGATCTCCAGCAAACACAACTATATCGTTTAGCTGGGCATGATATGTCCATATGTATTGCCGTGTGGCTGAATGAACTTGCAAAGCTAACCAACAATGGTTATCCCAGATCTGGGGAGAGGATTCATGTTTTTCTCATCTGAAATAGGCTTCTTGCTTCCACTGCCATATTTGATTGCCGGAGGGTAGTGAATTGTGATAAATTGGGATAATCATCATCATCATCACCATCATCATCATCATCATCATCATCATCCTCATCATCATCATCATCATCATCATCGGCATCATCGGCATCATCGGCATCATCGGCATCATCGGCATCATCGGCATCATCGGCATCATCGGCATCGGCATCGGCATTGGCATCGGCATTGGCATCGGCATTGGCATCGGCATTGGCATCGGCATTGGCATCGGCATTGGCATCGGCATTGGCATCGGCATGATGTCTAGTTGGTATGATCGTCATCCTATCTAGTTGTTCTATAAACAACGTTTGACACCACCAGCCAGAGATCCCATGGTTAGTTTTGCTTCGGGTGGTTTTACTTTTGCTGGATTAGACAGGTCCAAAGAATGATCAAGAAACATGCGACCCCATGAGGGTTGGTTTCAATAACCTGACCAGTCGAACACACCGAAAAATTGACGATGACAAATCCATCCCCTTTGGGTGAAATTCTCCTGATTATGATCGAATGATGGCAGCAATTTCGGCCAGCCAAGGCAAGTGACAAATCTTCGTGGCGCCGTAGATGCCAAAGCGCATGTCGAAGTTCCTTGGAATCCCCGGCTGATGAGAAAGCAACGTGGCAATCTCTGTCTTCCTGTAGCCGATCCAAGAAAATTTAGAAGATTGCCAAAACTTTTCCCAAGTCTAATGGTTGCTGTGCTGTGTCTTGCACTCATTCTTTATGGTTGTTGATCCGGTCAGGCTTTGGAACCGTCACCCGTACTATCGCAATGACCGTTGTGATATTCGAGGGTCGCCCTGGAACTTGCTGGTTCCTGGCGGCCTGGCCTGGTATGGCTGCCAGGGTCTAAAATTGCCATAGACGGCACCCAACACATATCCCACTACTTCAAATATGGATCCATAGCCAATCTGTCAGTGTTGGTCATTTCCCCCCAACAATGCCTACTTAGACGGGTCATGGGATTAGTTCACCGGTCAATACCTGGCTTATAACTAGCTCTATGATGTATTAAAAGCCAGTGATATACCTATCAGTTGACTAATGACAACCCTCATCAAGCTGGTATAACTGGTATAACTCATCATGAAGCTGGTCATAAGTCAGTTAACCCTGTAAACTAACATAGATGTGAAAAAAACAGCACTTAGGTAGATCATGTCCTAAAAAACCATGGGTTTTCATAATGTTTCCACATCCAATGTGAGTTCACCCCAGGGTACTAACCTTCTGCCGACGGCACAAAGCAAATTCATGGCCGCCGCCACCTACCCGTCCAGTCAACACGGCAATGGTGGCCTGAAACGGAAGTTGAGGAGACGAAAGGACGGTGGTTTACCGTACCCTGTTGTTCCATAATTCCGGTTTCAGAACGTTGCAACAAAAACTTACTCTCAACTTACTCCTGACTTTTTGTTGTTATTCACTCTCGTTCTATAATTCTTGTTGTGTTCCATAATTGTGTTTTTCCCATATTTCTCACACTTACCAATTCTGTTCTATAATTGCGTGTCCAATAATTGCGTGTTCAATATTAAATTTGCAATAATTCCGTTCTATAATTCTGGTTTTCTGTTCTATAATTCTGGTTTCTATGTATGTACATTCTTCCGGGGTCCCAGAAAGATACATAAATGATGTAAATACATGTAAGGAACCTCCAAATGGTCACGGCCACAATTATAGAACGGAAGTTGAGGAGCACAAATTAATTTTAGAACAGGCCAAACATTAATTATAGAAATTATAGAACAGGATCCGAATCCACGCGGAATCGGGATCCGGAGGAGTACGAAAGTACGGTATTTTACCGTACGTTTGCACTCCTAATTCCGTTCTATAATTGTGGCCGTTCCTGTAATGTGTATAATGATTTGCATAGATTTAACATACCTATATATATATATGTATATATACATACACAATACATATTGCATCACATATATAGTTAGTTAACAGTATATGCGTGAGTTAGCATTGAATGCCGTATGGGATAGTCAAATAGGGAAGAACATGTTCAAAAAGTGTGTATAGTATGTTCACTAGTGTTCACTAGACTTGAGCCAAACTCAAATCAAAGCTGTTCAATCCACCACCTCCCCAAAGCCTTGGGCATATTCCGCAGCACTTCCATATTCGAATGCCACTCATTCCTCAGGCGCCACAACGCGTTGAACCAAGGGTGACACAGAAAGGGTTGACACCCTTGATTTACACTGGGGGAGTACCCAAGATCGACTTTCCAAGAATTGGGAAGTAACTTAGTTCTACTCCAGGTTTCATGCTGGACTTCAGGGATAAACTTGCGAAACCACGCCAAGGACCTTCAAAACAACTTGAGGAGAACTTGAGGCATAGCCCTAGCTGCGAGGAAAGGCTGCCAGCAGCAGGGGTCCTGATATGTCCCTTTTGTTGATTGCGAGTGGAACCCACCGTGGTAATTATTGCTTCGCTTGTGTTCTGCTCAAACGATGTTCAATCATCCAAAAAAAGGAACCAAGAACGCCTGGTCCATGGTGGAATATGATAATCTCCAGATATATTGGATAGATTTGGGGCGGGTTTGTCATCAAATTTATCCTCAAATCTATCATCATGATATGGGGAATAAGACAATCCCCAAATATGATATATATATATATGTGATGATGATGATATTACAGTGGTATACAATTGGCTATAAAGATGAAGTATATGATATTCAAGTGGAATATGATCATCCCTTATGTGGGTAGTGTCACCCCCTATCATCATCAACCAACCCTCCGAGGCGCAGGATTTCTCCTCGGTCTTCGGGCGGGTTGACTTCGTTCAGGATGCTGTTCACATCCAGGTGAGCCAACCAGAAATGCTCCTGAGCCAACCATATCATGATGAATGTATATATATATTTGTATACATATATATATATATACTTATTTATTTATGTATACTCTATAAATATAATATATACTGTATATATATATACATACTTATTTATTGTATACATATATATATATATATATGGCCCGGTGAACAGGGGTCTTCCTTCTGCTCCCCCCCGTTTGACTTGTTGAAAATTATTGAGAGGTGGTTTGCGGCCATGATACGATTTGACATCCTCAACCAAACTTGTGGACACTTGTATACTTCGTTACATTTCGTTATGTATGTATGTATGTCTGTCTGTCTGTCTGCATGCATGCATGCATGCATGGATGGATGGATGGATGGATGTATGGATGTATGGATGTATGGATGTATGGATGTATGGATGTATGGATGCATGCATGCATGCATGCATGTATGTAAGTATGTATGTATGTATGTATGCATGCATGTATGTATGTATGTATGTATTATATTATATTATATATATATATACACGTGATTATATGTGTGTAAAGGAATGTAAAGGACATCTATATACCTCTCCAATTTTCTTGGTCACTTTTCCATCTTTGGTGGCTATATCCCTGCTTGCTTGTCATTTCCTTGTCGCTGTTGTGTTTCCCCTTGTGTTTTCGCTGTTCTTTTCCCAACATTTGTGTCACATGTGTCCACCCTTGTCATTCCCATTGCTGGAGCCTGGGAGCGAACCCCATCGTTGGCAACCGTTGGATGGGTCGAGTCATATCAATTTGCTTCATCCCCAAATCACAAATTTCAAGCATGTCCAGTATCCTATATTGGCAATCTGGCATATTTGCACTCAGTTTTCACCCAATAGAAACAGTGCTCAACGCTGACCCTGATCGTGGCTGATTCTCGCAACACCTTACTACAATATGAAGAGGGGGAACCATATTTCGATGTGCATCCCACTTAATAAGTGAGCAATAACCAGATCATAACACGAATTATACATGGGTACACCCCCGTCAATTTAGGGATTGCCTGAGAATGACATCCTCACAAATCTACTGGTTTCTCATCATTTTACCGGGCTATACCCCATTCTCACGTAAACCCAAGTATCATATCAAGGTAGATATATCTTATGATTACTCAATGAATATCCCATGTGATATATCCATGAATATTCCATGTATTGCAAAGCCACATCACCCAGCTGATTTTGTTATAGATTTACCCAGCTGGAATATGAACCTGATCTATGGAATAAATAATCTGGGTAAATCATCATATTTCACTAACCTGAATTAAGGCCAGGGATGATTGGCCTCACCCTCCAGCAAACTAACCTATGGAAAATGGATCATTTGGTTCGATGATTTACCTATTAAAAATGGTGATTTTCCATAGCTATGTTAGTTTACCAGAGGATACCTTTTCCATATCATATGTCACTAACCTGAATTAAGGCCACTGATCTTCTCCTTGGCCGGCCTCCTACCTAAATTAAGGCCACACCACTCGTTTCGGACTCCTAGCCCATTTGGAGATGATTCCCTTATTACCAATGATTCCAGTGAGGTCACTATGCCACCAGGCCACATTGGCGGAACGCACCACCAGCACACGCACCAGGTCGTCACGGGCCACGTTGCGGACCAGGTCACCGAACTCTTTGAAGAGTTTCCTGAGCAGCGCCCCACAAGACCATTGAAACACACAATGGATTTACAGACATATATACTGTGTATATGTATATGCATGTATATACTTATATATATATGGTCCACATGGCATATATGTTTATATATAAGTTTACACTTCATTCAGCATTATACATAATTATATAACATGTCATACATGTTTTGGATGCGCATTTAACATATCAATGTATCATGCATTTACATACAATCTTACGTATGTATACACTGTAGATTAAGAAGTCCAAAGGGCTTTGCATATGCATTATGATCTTCACCAACTCAATAATCCGCAACAGTGCCAAAAGGGCACATTCACATTCAGCCAGGGGCAAAACTGTTGAATTATTAATGCATATCTCCAACATGCGTGACCGTTCAGATCCTCGAAATTGATCTGCTTGACAACCCAAGGATCCAAGGGTACCCTAATTTCGGATAATCTTGGGACATACCTAACTCGTCTGCCATTTTGCACCAGGCTTCCCTGTGATCAGATTGACACCTCCTTTGTCCCCAGAGTTCATCGTCGCTATGCAGGCTCCATCACTGCGAAGCTCCACTTGGATCCTTGGTCCCAGTCAAGTGAGGATCGTTCCACATATCCACATATTTTGTGTGTGGAATTTCTCCAGGGGGATACCTCCAAATTGCAATGTGGAAAATCATGATGATTTTAGATGGTTTTTCCAAATGTTCATAATGTTCTGTTCAAAACAAAAAAAGAAATGTTGAAATTCCACTCAGAAACCAACATCGGAGCTGCTAAAACCTCATTGACTTCGGCTTGGAAACAGGTGATTTGTTATCTTCCATACCTGCCATGGTAACCTGGTAGCAATGTCCACAATTGGTACTACAATCAACTACGATCCAAAAAATACCAGCATTTCATGATCCAATGGTTTGTTTGTGATGTATCCTAGTTGTTCCTAGTGCCGGTCATCCAACTCATTCGCAACTCTGGCGACCCCGGTGCGCAAGGCCAACCTCTTGACCAAGAGGCGTCTTGTACTTCTCTGCATATGCAGGTGGTGCCATTGCTCAGAGAAACACTGTGATCCACACCTAAGATTTGGGTGATAAATAACTAAAATTCTCTCTCAAACCTCTGAATTCCAGTGAACTCTGGGGGAATCAAATGGCGATCAAGGTTTGGGAGAAACATCTTGCAAGTTGGGGACGCCATTTTTTTGTTGGGCTACGTTGGTTTCGGTGTGAGCTGACTGGCTGCCAGCAGTTTGCATCTCATGAGCCGAAAGTGCTGTGGATGTCTTGTTGTGGGATCCGATCTGGAGCTCGTTGCAGAAGCTAAAGGAAACCATGCTTGGAATAATTGTCAATAAAATAGTCTTAAACAATGGGGTTGCCCCAAAACCATGGGCCCCAACTGCTAAGAATTCGACAATTTGGAACATGCTAAATGTGCTTGGTCCCCGAGTTTGGAATCTTCTGGCCGCATCTTTTCTGCCCCCGAAACTCGGAAGATGTGTCTGCTATCCGCTATAAAATTAAAATTACCTACTATAGCCACCATCTGGGCATATCCTCTGCCCTCAGCAAGTGCTCCGAGAACATCAACCGAAAAAAATAGGATAATCAACCCAAATATGATCAGTTTGCTCATTGAGAGCGTCTTGGCAGAGTGCTCCTGACGACCGACCTCTGGGGGGGAACATGCCCACTAGCCGTCTATACATCTGCCATAGTGGGCTCCCAGCTGATGCTGGTGCCAACACCGGCCAGCAAAAGTTCGGAAGACGTTGGCTTCCGGCTGCATTTTAACTCTGATCCAGCGACGCGTTTCGTTTTTGAATCAATCGGTCCTACGATCCTGCACTGGTTGTAGAAGAAAGAACTTCCGTGCATAGTCCGAGTCTCACAGTGAAACATATAGTAAAGCTGGGTCTAATTTGGTCCACTTTTTTCTTTGAATTCGTGTGTCGTTCTTTGCTAACTTAACTTCACGGGACCGGTGTCGTGTTCGTCTGACTGAGTTTGAAAATTTGACTTAACATTTACATAGTATGACAGTATGCTGTCACATGGGTCAAAATCATGGACCCCAAAAAAGTGGATGGTGGATTCTAATCCAAAACATGACCAAGAGTTTGTCTTCGTACCCCCCGGTGTTTGGCCCATACCCATATTCAGATGAAGCACAAACATAGGCACTGGAGGTACCACATACATCCAGATACTGCTTGTGCCGGTCATAGCTGGCACCAGCTCCAGAATTGAACCATTTTACTGTTAAACCATTTGAAAAATTGAACACTTCCCACAATCATCCAGCAATCATATCATTCACTCATCTAGAGGTCAACCAGACTGTCCTTTCTTTAACCCGTGGATTCCCTACTTTTTAGCATAATTCTCTTAGCCCCTTGCTTTTTAATCCCAACCCCACCATGTTGTAACCTTTGGGTTCCGCGTCGTCCCCAAAATCGGCTACTTGCTTGGCGTCCACCTTCCCACTCACCTGGCATGTTGGCAAAAACGAATGGTTTGACCCTCCAAGATCGGAGGATCCAATGGGAAGCTAACGACAAGTGTATAGGGAATCTTGTTGGATATATTCTGGACATGTCTGAGATCCCATGGTACAACACCAGGGAAACAAGCTGAGGTTGAGGTGGTGATGATGATGACACCGAGGACGAGGAGGACGAGGACGACGAGGACGACGAGGACGATGGTGATGATGATCATGGCCAATCTATGCCAATCTTAGATATCCTGCAAAAAATATCAACAAATAACACCCAAAAAATATTGCAGCTGGTCAATACATGTCAATACTGAAGTACCCGTCCAAGGTTTCCCCCAGTGGTGGTGATAATCACGTTCATTGCCCAACACCAGCTCAATACATCCCCCCACGCTGTATGGAAGGGCCACTTCACCAGGAAAATCCTTTAAAAAAAATACTTTAAGTTGTGGGACGCAACCTTCCAACACCCCAACTTAGATAGCTATAGCAAAAAAAACAAAAAAAATGTCTAGCTGCGCATGATACTTCATAGATTTCATAGCTATAGCATCATGTTTTTCGACATGTTTTGCCTACCATTCACCCACCACCCAATTTTTCCCAAGTCTTCCATGTGTCCAGGGCGAGCCACGCGGGCTTCTTCGATGTCAACAAGGGCATGATCTTGGCCCAAGCTCCTCCATCCTCGAGGGCTGGACCAACCAGAAGCGGGGTGCCAATTCAAGGGTAGTTATAGTTATGTTTATTTGTAGATATAGATGAGATGACATGAGATGAGATTGACTAGATTAGAGCAAACTAAATTAGATAGACAAACAGATAGACAGACAAACGGTCAGATAGGATAAGCTGAGATTCAATTCGACTGGATAGAAATAGAAATAGAAATAGAAATAGATATAGATATAGATATACACACATATACGCATACGCATCTGCACATTCATCTGCACATAGACATAGATATAGATATTAGATATAGATATAGATATAGATACATATATACAATGGACATACATACGTGTGTATATATACAATATATATATATATACATATGGATATACATGTGGATATACATATGGATATACATATTGACATATACATATTGACATATACAAATAGATAGACTATACATATTGACATATACATATGGACATACATAAAGATATAGATATATGTAGGTAATATAGATAATACAGATATATAGATAATATAGATATATAGATATATAGATAATAAAGATAATAAAGATAATATAGATAATATATAGATCATATATAGATATATAGATATATAGATATATAGATATATAGATAAAAAAGATAAAGATAATATAGATAGTATAGATAATATAGATAATATAGATAATATAGATAATATAGATGATAATATATTATATAATATATATATATAGAAAGATATATATATACATAGATACATAGATACATAGATACATAGATACATAGATAGATAGATACATAGATACATAGATACATAGATATACATATGTAGATATAGATGTACATACATATAGATATATATGCATATAGATATAGGTATACATATACAGTATACATACATCTACATACATATGCATACATCTGTATACATATTTACGTGTTTACGTATGTACATATTTACATATTTACATATGTACAAAATCCATCATATACCTACATGTGTGTCATGGTCAAATCAGCGTATATTTCGTGTGGTCATCCATCCCCTACTGAAACATATTGGGAATCCAAACATATTGGGTGATATTCGATACAAATATCCCTATGAACATAGATTGGTGTTCCTCCCATTTTCATGGTAAAACAACCCGTAGATACCCCATTGATATAGGATTTTCTCATTGATTTTCCAGTTGATTCAGTAAATTAAATCCATCATTGAATCCATCTTCACATCCCAATAAATCCTATTGATGTCCACTAGATTTCATTAAATCCCAATGAAATCCCAATGAAATCCCATTAAATCCCATTAAATCCCATTAAATCCCATTAAATCCCATTAAATCCAATTAAATCCCAATTAAATCCCATTAAATCCCATTAAATCCCATTAAATCCCATTAAATCCTATTAAATCCAATTAAATCCCAATTAAATCCCAATGAAATCCCAATGAAATTCCCATCTCCAGATCTGCAGCGAGCTGCGCTGAATGCCGTAGAACTGCTGCCGCCTATGGACTCCACCTGGAAGTTGAAGCCGTCGCAGACCAAGTCCTCGCAGCTCAACCAGTGGTTTAATGGTGGTGATTTAATTGGGATTTTAATGGTGGTTTAATGGTGGTTTAATGGGATTTTATGGTGGTTTAATGGTGGTTTAATGGGATTTTATGGTGGTTTAATGGTGGTTTAATGGGATCTAATGGGATTTTAATGGTGGTTTAATGGGATTTTATGGTGGTTTAATGGTGGTTTAATGGGATTTTATGGTGGTTTAATGGTGGTTTAATGGGATCTAATGGGATTTTAATGGTGGTTTAATGGGATTTTATGGTGTTTAATGGTGGTTTAATGGTGGTTTTATGGTGGTTTAATGGGATTTTATGGTGGTTTAATGGTGGTTTAATGGGATCTAATGGGATTTTAATGGTGGTTTAATGGGATTTTATGGTGGTTTAATGGTGGTTTAATGGGATTTTATGGTGGTTTAATGGTGGTTTAATGGGATCTAATGGGATTTTAATAGTGGTTTAATGGGATTTTATGGTGGTTTAATGGTGGTTTAATGGGATTTTATGGTGGTTTAGTGGTGGTTTAATGGGATTTTATGGTGGTTTAATGTTGGTTTAATGGGATCTAATGGGATTTTAATGGTGGTTTAATGGGATTTTATGGTGGTTTAATGGTGGTTGAATGGGATTTTATGGTGGTTTAATGGTGGTTTAATGGGATCTAATGGGATTTTAATGGTGGTTTAATGGGATTTTATGGTGGTTTAATGGTGGTTTAATGGGATCTAATGGGATTTTAATGGTGGTTTAATGGGATTTTATGGTGGTTTAATGGTGGTTTAATGGGATTATATGGTGGTTTAATGGTGGTTTAATGGGATCTAATGGGATTTTAATGGTGGTTTAATGGTGGTTTTATGGTGGTTTTATGGTGGTTTAATGGGATCTAATGGGATTTTAATGGTGGTTTAATGGTGGCTTAATGGGATCTAATGGGATTTAATTGGGATTTAATTGGGATCTAACGGGATCTAATGGGATTTTATGGTGGTTTAATGGTGGTTTAATGGGATCTAATGGGATTTACTTGGGATTTAATGGGATTTCAATGGTGGTTTAATGGTGGTTTAATGGGATCTAATGGGATTTAATTGGTGGTTTAATGGTGGTTTAATGGGATCTAATGGGATTTAATGGGTGGTTTAATGGTGGTTTAATGGGATCTAATGGGATTTAATTGGGATTTAATTGGGATCTAATGGGATTTAATGGTGGTTTAATGGGATCTAATGGGATTTAATTGGGATTTAATGGGATTTCAATGGTGGTTTAATGGTGGTTTAATGGGATCTAATGGGATTTAATTGGTGGTTTAATGGTGGTTTAATGGGATCTAATGGGATTAAATTGAGATTTAATTGGGATCTAATGGGATTTTATGGTGGTTTAATGGTGGTTGAATGGGATCTAATGGGATTTAATAGGATTTACCCGGCCTGGTAAACGTTAACAAAAAACTATGGAAAGATCCACCATGTTGAAAAAGGGAAAACTCACTATTTCGACTGGGCCATGTTCAGTAGCTATGTTAAATTACCAGAGGGTATTCATGGCGATTGAATGCTGATTTCATGGTGATATCTCATGTTGAATCACAAAATTCATGATTTGAATGGCTAAATTGAGACAAATGATGGAAATCTCAAAATGGTGATTGGTGAGTATAACGGCGATTGAACCACTTGGAGGATCATCCCGCCTAATAACTGGTGGGTTATACACCTACAAATGGAATAAGCCTAGGAATCGGGGACCTACTGGCAAGGTTATTTACCACTTGCTAGGTGGAATGATCCTCCAAGCATAAATAAGTAAGGTTTGATAATATGATTTAAGGGTGAAATGCTAATATAACCAAAATTCGTGGGTTTTAACCGTTTTAACCAATCATGGAGTTGAGTGATGATTAAATACGGATGTAATGAGGATTTGATATGATTTTATGGTGATGTACAACCAAAAATATGTTGAGATAAGCAACATACTGGGATTTTCCATGGGGATTTCCAAAATTGGCGATTGGGATACCATGGAGATATAACCAACCATAGGGGTTTAATTAATGGGAAATAATATCGATATTATACAATACGGATATAGTGGAGATATAAACCAATGATAGGGTTATAATGGGAATTAATCTCCAACAAATATGAGATTCAATGGGAACTTATAACCAACAATATAGGATATTGGATAAACAAAACGGTAAGTTCACCAACAAATATCGATATATATATATATATATGTGCGTTTGTATACTGAGATATACTCGTGATATCTACTGGGATAGACAACCAACAACTCATGAACATTGATCTATGGATATCTATGGTCCCCTTCGATCGGCACCTTCCACGCTTCCAGTTGCTTCTCATCGAAGTTGGCCGAAGTCTCAGGGTCTGAGGGCGTGATCACTTTCTTCAATTCCTGGGCGGAAGAAATACTGTGGATGGAAGAAATCCTGCACCACCTTGGATGGTTGAAACCCTATAAATCATGGTTGCATCAACTGGTGCAGGATTTCTTCTATCCACAGTAGGAAATGGTCCACAACAAGAATCCGAAGATCAGGTTTTCATGTTTTAAATATATCATATTACTCACCAAGAAATGGCGAAAACCAAGATGATGTGAATCAGATCTGAATAGAAACAAGAAGAACTGGCGGTCCAAGGAGAAAACCAAGATTTTGACTACCAACAAGGGGCACGTGACGGAGATGATGCTTGTACTTCTGATGCACATTTGGGTAGGTGATCCTACAGAAAAAATCGTTGCTCAAGCAGTAAATCATGTTATTTATGTTATTTTGGGGTACACAAAATTTAACATGGAACCCCAAATTTGCGTAAATTTGCTGTGTCTGATAGAAATTCATCTTTCAAACCCTATCTTTGCGGTTCCATGTTAAATTTCGGCAATTTTGACCCATTTGGAAGCCCTATGAAGCCCTGGTTCACCATCACCCTTCCTCCCCTAAAGTTGCCTCGGGCTGTGATTCCCATCATAAATATATCCACCAGATTGAAGAACCGGAACTTCCAAATGCAGTTGGAAGTTCCCGCACCCATAGGTTGCTGGTGAAGGACAAATGGAGCTACTTGACTGGGAGCGACTTCAACAACTCAACAACCCAGCGCTCACGTCAGAGTTGCGTAGATCTTGTTGAGCCAAATGCTTTGTGCCTCAGGCGACACAGACCAGGTCATGATTGACTCCAGCGACGAAACAGTAATACCCTCCGGTCATTTCACATAAGCTATGGAAAATGGCTGATTTACAGATGATTTACATTGACTTGGCGGTTAAAATGGTGATTTTCCTCTGTGTGAAATTCCTAGAGTCTGCAACCCTCGGGGTTAGTCCAGGCACCGGATCTTCGCCGGCTTTGACGCTCTTCAACAAGCCAATCTCCTGCGCCGCTATCGGCCGCGCCCCAAGAAAAAACACCGGTGAGGTCGGGTTGCTGGTTGAGCCATGAGAAGTGTTTGGCAAGTGGAGACAATAATTTTCGGCATCAAAAGCAAACAGAACATACTTGAAGGCACTAGCCATGGAAGCATGAGCAGTGAAAACCAAGAATTTACTGTAGCCAAGAAACAGCTACAGTAATCATTCACCAACCTGAGGCCTCTTTAAAAAAGGCCTTGCTCAGGTGCCTGCAACTTCTCAATCCTAAAGTTACTAAACGGGAACCGTGCTTTGTGGCTGGTACCACTATTTCTTGAATCAGTTGTGTATATATGTACAGTATAGATATATGATGACAATGACAAATGTATATATATATATATACATATCCAGTTTGGTAACTTGTATATACATCATATATCCAGAATTCACTACCCCAAAAAGTTGGACGGAACTTGAGCCATGTCCAGGCTTTTTTTGGAGTCTTTTCCCTTCCAGAAAAGTGGTACCCAAAATGATGAAAAAAATGATAAATAGTTGTCATTCTTGGCCATCCAGACACCCAACTACCATCAAATACCTTCAGTAATTCCCCCAGAGCATCATTCCCAGGTGCGATTCCCAGTGTTTTCCCTCGGGGTGTCATGTGGTGTCCTTGATCAAGTTGGGAATCAAATCCACCTGGATCCTGTCGCTGGTCTTCTTATAGATCTCGATGGTGCTCCTGAAACGATCTGAACCTTCAGGGACTGGGATGATCCTTGATCCGTGTTAGTCCGAGTTGAACTCCATAGTTACGTATATTACATTATTAATTATACATATATATATATATACATATGTATACACACACAATATAGGACATAGATTAAATTACATATGACATATATATATACATACATTACATTACATTACATTACATTACATTACATTACATTACATTACATTACATTACATTACATTACATTACATTACATACACACACATTTACATATGTATGTCCTATGTAATCCAATTATACACCGGCTATCCATGTTTGTTCACATCGTCTAATCCCCTAGAAGTGGAAACCACTGGGCAAACCACCCAGAATATGGGGAATGTACAACCACTGATTTGTGGGTTCGGAATTCAGGCAAGGTATCTGTATCAATGGATTTAGAGGTGGTATGTATATACATGAATGTGTGTGTGTGTCTGATTAGAGATCTATCAGTGATTTCAACCCTAGATATGGTTCCCAAATATTGCGAGGAGATTCGAGGACCCTGTCCGGGTCCTCTTGAAGTCATCATCAGGACCCTCTGGCACCGTGTGGCAATGAATGGCCTCGTTGTAATCCTTGGGGGCTGCTGTGCGCCAGAACAGCCCCAACAGCAAGCACCATTGCAGGGAATTTGTTTGGCGATCTTCCCACTACTGTTGCTTCTCTCCCATCTTCTATTGCTTCTCTCGCCCCATTTTGTTGGTGATACCCACACTTTCCTGGTTGCACCCCAATTTCGTTGGTTGTACCCCCATTCTTAGTGGTTATACCATCTCATACCCCTTCAATTTTCTCTGTGACTTCACCAGTCCCTATCCGAGTCTCGGTGAACCAAGAGTTGACCATGTCCATGGTGTAGGGATAAGGCACCTTCGGCTTATCCGCCTCAATGGTGCAATCGCCATTAAAGTGACCCATGGTGGATTTTCCTGGGAATTTGTGTGTGTGTGTATGTGTTATATATATATATATATTACAATATTATATATTACATATTATATATATTATATGTTATCTTTCATATTATATATTATATATTAAATATCATATGTTATATATTATATATTATATATTACAGTATATGTGAGAAATATTATATATTATATATTATATATTATATATTATATATTATATTATATTATATTATATACTATATATTATATATTATATATTATATATCATATCATATTATATGATATATTATATATCATATCATGTTATATCATATTATATCATATTAGATCATATTATATCATATTATATCATATTAGATCATATTATATCATATTATATCATATTAGATCATATTATATCATATCATATCATATTATATCATATCATATTATATCCTATTATATCCTATTATATCATATTATATCATATTATATCATATTATATCATATTATATCATATTATATTATATTATATTATATTACATTATATTATATTATATCATATTATATTATATTATATTGTATTATATTATGTAGCCACAATGTCTATTACACAAGTATATGATGTGCTTACCACTATCTATCAATGATATGTACACTATGTATCTAACCACATGTATATGATTCTACATGTATACCATGAAGCCCAGGAATGGGGAACTTGCGCCCATCCAGACCCGGTTTCTCCACCAGGTCGAAACACCTCGGGTCCCCAAAGATGGTTTCCTGTTGAAAGTGGGATGTTCCACTGCCATGTTGGAGTCCCAAAGAGTACTTGCTGGGATTTCAGGAACAATTCGAAGGAGTTCATGAGTTGCAGCAATCAAATATAGCTGGTCCTTGCAAAGTTCCCTTGAAAGGATATATCCTGTACAGAAACTGCTTGTTGGTTGAGCGAGCCATCCTGAAAGAATTACAAGAAAAAGCTGATCAATTGAGAACAAGTATCTCAAGAAAGGGTTACTCGTAGCACAAAAAGCGTTCCCAATCCTCCCCGTTCCCCACATGATACCAAGGTGCGCAGCCCTTGCAGTGCGTGCGGAACATGGTCTCATATCTTTCCCAGTCAGCTTTGGCATATTCAAAGAACTTCTTGACCTCAGGCGAAGTCCAAATAAAAACATGTCCAAACCATCTGTTCAGTGTTCCACACTGCTTCAGCATCCCTTCAACCGTTGGCTTCTATGAGCCTGTGCAGCAGTTGTTCGGCTCATGCTGGCGCACGCCTTTCCCTGGCCCACTGCGACAAGTTGCAGGGTGCATGGTGTGGATCAAAGAGTACTTATAAGCCGCTTCATCACCCCAGCACATTGCCTTAGTGATTCCCAATGGGAGATGGCACAGAACCAGCCGGATCGAAGGTGTGAGAAATGGGAGGAGAATCAAGAAAGATTTAAAAAAGAAAAACAAGAGAGATGTGGTGACAACTGCGTGAAGACAAAAAGCATGTTGTCAACCAACAAAGGAACATAAAGGATACAAAGGCTACGGTTAAAAGTGAGCATGTCTGAAAATTGCGGGGACCTTCGCTTTAAGAAAAAGGCAAGATTTCCATCCATCCCAAGTGAACACCTTCTATTCACTAAAGCTAGAATTCTCTCAAAAGGCCTCAATATAGACAGATCCCTATATGCATTTATATAATATGTTGATACATATATTTATATATGTATATATTATGGGCTGCGTCAGCCTGTTTGTCTGTTGTGTGACAAACATGGCCCAGAAGCCGCTCCCAGCTACTCCCAAAAATATAGGAACTATTTGCAAAATAAAAACAGAACAATCACAGAAAAATCCTATAAGAAATGCTGTATATATATACATACATATCTATATATATATATAATTAAGATGTTCAAAGTTGATCATAAATGTATTTTAGTGTTTTGCATCAGTGCAGATAGTCATAGAGTCATAGAGTCCTATAGTCATACAGTCATATTTATCACTACTTACCAACGTTTGCCCAGCAAATCGCCAACTTCCGGTAAACATCCCAGATGTCTTCAGGCCTCTGGGGACTGTCTGGTACCAGCCCAGTTGCCATGCTTGGGAAGTAGCTGCCAAAGACACCACCGGCCCACATCTCATACTGAACGTTAGTCATGTACACAGGCTGATCCTAGGGTGCAGGGCGGCGCAGATTCAGTTTGACCGACGATGTCCTTTGTGCAAAAATGGGTGTGGAACTGTGTGATATACAACCTATCATCATTTGCCTATTTATCAATTTGCCAGCAGGGACAGGACATCTATTTTTTTGAATATGAACCGCCGCAGAGATGATTAATTAATATTTTTGATTAGATATACATGTGAGAATGCGATTATTAGGGGTATATTCTCCGTGAACTTGCCAGAAAGTTTGCCTCCCGATGTGCCCAAGGAACGGGTTGTGTGTCACTCTTCTTGTGCACCGGCAGGAGCTTCATCATGCCGTTGTTGCCTTGGATGTGACAAAATGAGTGGGGGGTATTTCACATTAGGCAGAAGTGATCTGCATATATGAGCCCGGTCCCCGGACCCCACACCCCCCCCTCCCCCCCCAATGGTATCCCCCCCCACTCCTAACCCCCCCACCCCCCAAAACCTAGTATTTGCATGTTATTTGCACATATACATACACATATACACATATATACTCCCCTTTCCACCCCTCCAACCTCGCATCTCTACGTTATTTGCAGCACTTGAGAGCCACGACCTCGTCAACGGACCTTGTCTACCTGTATATTTCTATCATAACCTTTTTTTCGAACCGCCTATAGCGTGCCTCGCACATGGTTTACAACATATTTGCTACCTATGGATTACGCAAAGCTTACCTATGCAAACCTAGACATATGTACAGTAGAAAAACAATAAATACATATATATATATATACATATACACAACTAGATACTACAGATTGATATCTTGATCTTGTATCTATCACATATTTCGTTTACATTGTACATACTGTACACGTATATATATATATATATATGTATACATATATATATATGCATATATATATATATATACGCGCAACGCCTGGGTTTTGCCCAGGCGTTGCAGCGTAGAGGTTTCCCATTCACAAACAAATGATGTTGCAAATTACCGTAATTCCTATGGGGAAAATAACAAAGGTACTAGGGACTATTAAACAAACAAGGTCAAAACACCCGAAATTCCTATGGGAAAAACAAAAAACGGCATAACATTTGAAATTCCTATGGGAAAAACAACAAAGGTACTAGGAAATGTTAAACTCTCAAATCGTGAAACTTAACATTCAAGTAGGAAGATCAACAAAGATATTAGGGAATATTAAACTCCCACCCCCGTTAAACTTTACATTCAATTGGGAAGATCAACAAAGATATTAGGGAATATTAAACTCCCACCCCCGTTAAACTTCTACATTCATTGAAGATCTTCAATAAGGGTTTAATTCTCCCACCCCTTTTAAACTTCTACATTCATTGAAGATCTTCAATAAGGGTTTAATTCTCCCACCGCCGTTAAACTTCTACATTCATTGAAGATCTTCAATAAGGGTTTAATTCTCCCAACCCGTTAAACTTCTACATTCATTGAAGATCTCCAATAAGGGTTTAATTCTCCCACCCCCGTTAAACTTCTACATTCATTGAAGATCTCCAATAAGGGTTTAATTCTCCCACCCCCGTTAAACTTCTACATTCATTGAAGATCTCCAATGAGGGTTTAATTCTCCCAACCCCGTTAAACTTCTACATTCATTGAAGATCTCCAATAAGGGTTTAATTCTCCCACCCCCGTTAAACTTCTACATTCATTGAAGATCTCCAATAAGGGTATGATGATGTTGATGATGTTGATGAACATGATGTTGATGAACATGATGTTGATGAACATGATGTTGATGATGATGATGATAATGATGATGATGATTATGATTATGATGATGATGATGATGATGATGATGATGATGATGCATCGCCCGTCGTCATTGCGGGTCCGGGCAAAACCCAGGCATTTGCCGTATATATACATATATATATATATACATAAACTCTAGATATACAGCGTGTATTGCTGTCGATATTCAATATACCACATATACTATGTAAAATTTATTCAACGAACATATTTACCTATATTGTATATATTACATCTACTGTGGATACAGTACATGTGGCATATATTCTATCAAAAACCACATATACGATGTATATATATATGTTCAATATATATATATATATGTCAAATATATATATACTATAAATATATATATTGCATATATTCTATTTATATCTTACATATTATATATATGTTTATGTATATATATATACACTACACATACACTCTATATTACATATAGTATATCCATTCTAATTATCGATACATATGCATTATATGCACTATAAAGACTACATACACCATGGCTTGGCTGCTGAGAAAACCCCCCTCCCCTGCCACAGGGGGGGGGAACCATCTGGCTGGGTGGGGGGGGGTGTGGGGGTCCCTGCTCATATATATATATGTATATATATATATACATATTGCATTATATATGTGTATATATAGACATATATTTATTATTATTATTGCTATTATTATTGTTATTATAATTACTATTATTATTGTTATTGTTATTGTTATTACTATGATTGTTATTGTTATTATATAATGTTTTAGAAGTTTCGGCCATAACCAACTGATCGTTGTGGATCATCAAACCAATGATAACCAATGCCTGGTCAGTTGCAGGTGGAAGGGACTGGCTGGGAAAGTCAGAATGTATACGCAGCACGCTGACACCATCTGAAACCCACTCAGCTTCTTTCCTTACCGAAATCCACTTGTATGACATACATACCAATTTCACTGACGAATACAGGTCAGTTATACCCATCCAATCCCATCCAAACAATCTGAAATCACCAAAGAAATGTTGCAGAAAAGTCGCAAGCTTCCTTGAACAGCCAAGGGTGGTTGTGCAGGAAGTACCTTGGATGATTCGTGGCCGATGTCACAGTACCAGATAGCATCTAACTAACGATCAGATCTAATCTGGTCTAGTCCCCAAATTTTACTGGTAAAATCACTGAAAAAACCTCATCAAATCTTGCTGGTGAAAATCACGCAAATCCCATCAAGTCCCTAAGTTACTGCTAAAATCACCAAAATGTCCACATTTCCCTGGAAAAAATCACCAACTCCCAGCTTTCATCCCAGGTGCCACTGCTTCACCATGCCGCAGGCGCCCGGGCCAGCGGAGAAGGTGGTGAAGCGCCGCGCGTCCATGCCGGTGGCATCGGCCGCCAGCACACGCCTGGAACCGAAGCTGTGAAAAACCCGTTCATTTTCATCCCCAATTTGTGATGTGATTTGAGAGAAAAAAAAACACCCGAATTTTCAGGTGAAAATCACCAGTTTGGCATTGGATGTTCTATCCCCACATTCACCGGTCCCCAGGGTGTCCCCGTTGATCCCTCACTCGCACCTGAAGTCCCCGTTGATCATGGAGCCCACTTTGTGGGTCATGGCATGTAACTTATCCACGCGCGGGTCGCCGATGAGGCCGAGCGCTTTGCCTCGAAATGCCCGAGGCAAAATGGAGGATCTGAGAGGAAAATCATCTATAAATGGAGGATTTTCCAGCAAGCCATGTTTGATTACCGAAGGGTAACAGGCTAACCCGGTCATGGAAATCATTTGAAATCAGTTTCCGCAGATATGATCATATATGTCTACATGGTTAAATGTGGGTGTGTTCACCAACAAAATCCGGATATCTTTGGTTTCGCACCAAGCTGGGGCCAAGCTGCAGATGTGGCCCATGTCCTCCAGCTTTTCACCACCTGCAGTTGGGGATGGGAAGAAATCTTTCCTCTAAGGATGGGGTTCTGAAAAAAAACCAAACAGATTGGAAAGGAATGCAAAGGACACATCCAAAATTTGAGACCCAGGTCGTCAACCACATGGTGCCTAGACGATCCAATTTTGAGGTCTGCAACTTCAAAGTAATCTGTCCTTCAAGGCTATGAAAAACTGGGCAGGTCAGGATAAGCTAGGTCAGGTTTGCCATGAGAGTCAAATGACTCATTTCACCTACAATAGTGATGATATGTGATAATCCACCATCAGGTTAGAGGCACAATTGGGGGGTCATAAAATTAGGGTACCCCAAACCAGCGGTTTCCCCATTAAAAAAACAAAAAACGATACAATGTTGGATGATAGCTAAGCCCTAGGAAAATCCCATATCACATTATATATCATCTCGTCCGTTGTTGGATGTATCCCATGACATTAATTATCACAACCATTCATATGACCATCAATATTTGGTGCATACCCAAAAAAAACTGATATTGCCGCAGTTTTCCCCACTAAAAACTGCTATTGTCTGGTTGAAAACTGCAATTCTCCCCACTAAAACTGGGTACAAAACAATGGGATCATCGCAGGGGACCGGTCCCCCGGCATCTGCAGCAAGATACTCGTGAGATGCAAGGTCTTCGCACTGCATCGCGCCAGTGTATCAACTCGGTACTCCTTGGGGCCACGCCTTTGGTGGAAATGTTAAGTATGTTGTCTATTATATACATATTATGTGTTTATATATACATATTATATACATATTATATACATATTATATACATATTATATACATATTATATACATATTATATACATATTATATACATATTATATACATATTATATACATATTATATACATATTATATACATATTATATACATATTATATACATATTATATACATATTATATACATATTATATACATATTATACACAGTGGACATTGTATACGTAGATGTCTGTGTGTATATGTACGTATGTATTTAATCTAATGCAATGTAATGTAATGCAACGCAACGAGATTTACTGCAATGTAGTGTAATCATGCAGGCATGCATATGTAACTAATTGAATATGCATGCTTCACATGTAATGGAACATGCAGGTGTATGTTAGCTTGTATAGATGCCGTGAACATATATGAACATATAACATGCACTAGACTAGGGATTGTCATTTGTAGATGCCCGTATATTCATATCGATTTATACATCTTACATCTATGATATGGTTTTTCAGTACCTCTACTTCTAGATTTTTTGGGTCCACCACCCGTCTTCCAGCCACTACCATCGATTACCCTTCACTACAGAATCCGGCGAGTAGGAGAAGTCCCTATTTCAATCCACCTCGGTGGGTCTGAAAATGAGGTATATCCCCCGAATAGCCGGTTTTGATGGGGATAATGATCACTAATCAATAAATTTACCATACTTTCAGACAAACACATTTATGATTAGGTGATTTTCCTCTTCAAGATGGCGATGCCCCCAGCAAATCATGTCCCAAGACTCCAGTAAGCCATAGGCCAAGCACAAGAAGGTCACATCTCCGATGCCGAAACGGCTGCTTTGCCTAATCCCATGGCGGGCGTTGTTAAGCACACGACTCAACCCATCTTGATTGCAGGGAAAGAAATGATCCAGAATAATCCAAGATGGTCGTTGAAAATCCAATGGAAGTTTCAACCATCCAAAAAATGACGGTCATTCAATGACTCTCCTGTGATGGGCCAGCAAGGCCTGGTCATCACAGCCGCAGCTAGATCAACTTTCCCCACAGGAGTCCATTGCTTGTTTTTTTGGACGTTTCAGATGGGGAGAAATGATGAGTGAACCCAACCCACCAACCAGTCTCATTGGTGTGTTCAAGTTCTGTTGGTATACCCAACCCAAGCCACTCTCATCTTTGTTTGGAAAGTGCCTATGTCTAAGCTTTCATGATCCAAAAACAATTGTCAGTGAAGATATGCGTGTGATCCCCAATTTGGATCAAATTTTAACATCTCCAACACTCCCAACCCATCTCCCGGTCCCATCACTCACCATCTTTCGAGTCCCAAGGGGCTTGATGCCCACATCGTGTGGGTCGTTGCCCATCTGAACGGCATAGAACTTGTAGGGGTCTTCCAAGCCTGGTGCAGAGCGCCACCTCATGAGTATGGGTGGGATAATAAGCTATAACATGACTAAAGATTATGTGCTCTTACTACAGTAGTTAGTAGGTTTAACAATGGTTTAACCCAAAAAAATGAGATTTATGGGAGTTGTTGTCAAGCAAGGTGAGAATCTGGCCGACAGAAATTGGGGATGTTAATGGATACGACGAAGATATCGATGGGATACGTTGGGATGTGATAGGAGTCATCCTTCAATTCCAGTCCGCGTCAAGATGAAAGACCCTGCACCCGGAGAAATTTTCCCTCAGGGAGCCATCCTTTTTTGGTGCATACCCAATCTTGAAACCTTCCCATATGGTAAATCCCTAACTCGATGAGAAAGTTGAGTTGTCTGGTGGCCACTGAGACCGTTCCCCTGAAGGGTATGAAAACATCCACAGGTTGATAGACCAGCTGATCAAACTCAATTGAGGCTCACTGAAAATCATGAGATCCACAGCATTTCTCGCGAACTTGTCATGACAAATTATCACTGCTGTTCTGGCCCGTTCCCATTGCAGATCAATTTGTCCTAGTCGCAGGGGTAGTAAACTGTCTCGCAACCCTTCTGCAAGTGCGTTCTGCCCCAAATATACACACCTCCTGTACTGGGTAAGCCACTGTGCCCAATCATTGAGTTCCCCTACAAGGTGGGTTCCCCTCGATAGCTAACTTGTTTCATAACTATAGAGGTTAGCTGTGGTTTACGGATGTTTATGGTGTGTATATATATATACTGTGTGTGTGTATATGTATGATATGATATGATATGATATGGTATGGTATGATATGATACGATAGGATATGATATGATATGATGTGATATGATATGATATGATGTGATATGATATAATATGATATGTATGTATGCATGCGTGTGTGTGTGTGTGCATGCATGCATGCATGCATGTTTGTTTGTTTGTTTGTTTGAATGGATGAATGGATGGCTGGATGTGTGGATGTGTGGATGTGTGGATGTGTTTGTGTGTATGTGTATAGATATATATATATATATATAACATTTTACAACTATAATGGTGGTTATACACCAACTTATAACTGTGGGGTCCCCAGCTTGTAGCAATTGATATGAACCATACACCTTTTCCCATCGTAGCTTTGTGGCTTTGGCCCTGCCTCCCAAGGCATACATGGGCTTGAACTGATTCAGCAACATCCAGGCTGGAGTCGGTTCAGGGCCTGCCCCCAAGTGGAAACAGCCTGTAGATCTGTGCAACTTGAGGTCACCAAACATGGTCCACGACCCAGCAATCAAAGTCGCAGTGGGAAATAGATCTAATTAGATCTAACCCAGCAATTCACGGGTTTTAGATTATTTTAGATTGTTGCTGCATGTGTGCCTGCTTCTATTGCGATTTGTTGAATCTGCGGCTTCGTGATTGATAATGCAATTGGATTGCAAACCCATTGCCCTTTGCCTGTTTCAAGATATCAGTCTTTTCCCTATTTCCCGTGTCACGCGATCGTTCTGGCTACATCCAAATCGTTGGTGGCTACCTTTCCGTCATTCTTCATCCACAATTCACGTAGTTGCGATGGCTACATCTCAAATCTCATTCATTCGTATCGATCACTTGATGTTCTTTCCACTGGTTCTGCCATACCTGAAACAACCACGGATGCGAAATTGCTGGCTCCATGTTACGTTCTTGCCCGTGAAACCTGCATGAAAACCATCAACCAGCGGTCAGCAGTTGTTTCAGACAGTGCACCCTCTGGTAATCACACTGTGGAAATGGGAAAGTCCCATTCTTAGTGGAAAAAAACATCTCAAAATAGATGTTGAGGGGAAATCCCAGGGATTTCCCGGCCGCACCTTGATGGCAGAACCAGCAAGGAAGGCGTGGACACAAAAGGCTCTTCCTGCGAACTTCTAGGGGTTTGCGCACCAGCTGCTCAGTATGGACAAAAGATTCCCAGACATGCTTTCAGGAGGCAATTCGTGTGCAACCCCCCTGTATTTTGATGGATTTGATGGTCAAAGCCTGGTTTCCTATAGATGAAAAAAGCTTCTCCCAGCAAAAAATGTTCTAGGATGTGAAATGCCGCTGTCAACATTTCAAGTTCAACGTGCTCAGGACATATGAGGACCAGTCCTTCGGGTGATGATGTAAACTTTGGCTGCAGCATTCTCCACGCAACTTCGGACCTCAGGCGGGCGATTCCACGCTCCGAAAAGGCCCCAGAAGTTTTTGATGGTTCTCTATATACCAATATAAATATATATATATATATTTACATACATATATATTGTATATATATATATATATTGGTATATCAATATATTCAAAACGATCAACAACCAGCCAGTGTCTCCAAGACACGTTCTCCACCGCAAAGGCACCGTTGCCCAAAATGGCGCAACGTCCATCCTTCATGCGGCCGTCGTCCCAGCAGAAGGCGCCACCTTGGATGTGAGGGATGGATCACCTGTTGTACCACATTTTGGGGGCATGAAAATAGAATTTACGATAAATGTGTGCCAAAAGAAATAATTATGGATAAATATGGATAAATGGTGTAAAATTATGTAAATGGAATTAAAATACTTTAGCTGTTTGATAATGGATATGTAGCTAAATAGTCAATGGAGAATAATCGAGTGCTCTATTTTGCAACTGTTTGGATTTTTTCGTTGCTTGCTTATCACAGTCTATGAAGTTAAGATGGTTAATTGGGCTCTTAACAGACTGTAGTAATGGAACACTCCAGAATAGCCAATTAACTATTGTGTGTAAGTAGTCGTTGACTAGCTTTGATGGGCTGTCTCATAGTCATAGACCAATGCTTAAGCAGTTGTTTGCTTGAATGACTTTGAATGAAATAGATTAGTCGTACATGACTTGACAAATCGCTCAATACTTTGAAACTGCCCAACTGCTCAACAAAAAGAAAGCAATAAGCAGTGTCTGAGCCTGTGTGAAACTATGTTGTATGACATACTTGCGGCAGGCATGCTTCCTATCTCACGTGTGGACGGTGTACGCCTCAAGCCACTGAAACCAAGTCACCTTGTCCGTTGCCCATTCCGTAACCGACCTGTCCGCCTGCCGCAATGAATTCATCTTCACCTGCAGCAAATTGGCAAAGGTCACTGGTCATTTCACAGAGAAGTGCCGAACCAGGCAGTGAAAAACTTTGTCATTTAGGTTACCCCCAAAAGTTGGTTGAGAACATCTGGTTCCCATATTTTCCCATCTTCCCCCTATGAATTTCCATGGTTTTTACCCATGACATTGGCCATGTTTGTTGGGGTCCCGACAATTTTTCGGGTACACCTCCAGTAAACCCGTCCGGTGTCCTACCTGGATAGTCGATGATGCGGTTAATCTCATATGCACCTGCCATGGCAGCCCATCCCACAGGCATCCCAACGAGAAAATCTACGGGAAGTATGGGGAAAATCATGGTTTCCACCACCCAAATTTCTACGGCTGTCATAGATTGCCATCCAAATTGCTACAGCTTGTCATTGTTGTCATAGATTTTATAGTGTTATTTTCCACCATCAATCCATGTCGAGGTGTCACAGGTGTCTCAACCCATCGGTGGCTTGGCGCCTGGGAAGTGATAGACCACCGAGGTCTTCACAGTGGAGGCGACGCCGCCATTCTCGGTGCTGTATGCCTCGCGAAGTCAGTGAGCCGGATGCACAGTAGGTCATGCACAGTGTCATCTCATAGGTATTTAGATTATACCCAGATAATTTACGATATATTTGTTGTACATAATATATATATATATCAGCATTACTATTACTAATCATTCTTGACCACTATAAGCCACAAACAACATGGCTGCGCTTCCGCAAGGCACGTTGTATCCGCCCTTCTGCAGCTCCACGGCATGGTCCTGTTGTGAGTTCAGCAGCAAACGTGGCGCTGTGAAGCTAAGTGAAGAATGGGATATATGTTTCTAATCATAACCATATATATATAAGGAAATAGTGGTATATATATATGAGAAGAAGAACAAAATCGGAATTTAATGAGCTCTAATATGATTGCATAGGGATATGATGAGGAAATATTAGGAATGGGGAATCCCTCATCATCATACATCGCATTTAATACCATTAAATCCCATGACGGAGATTTCATGGGGATATGATGAGGGATTTGATGGGATGTTATGGGCTTTAATGGGAAGTAATGGTGTATATATATAATATAATTATATATATAACTAACTTGATGTTAGTTTTGAGTGAAACCAATTGGCAATGTCACAGGCATTAACCATCAACAACACGGATTTGATGGGGATATCATGATGTACAGTAACCAACCGGGAATGCCCCATAATAGCAATTTAAAGAAAATTAAACAAATAACAATATTGGGGAAAAAAATAACGAATGGGAAAAACAAACATGAAAAAAAAGTGATAATCCGTCTTGGAATTAAGGGTGCAGTACCCCATTTTCAGACAAACCCAGCTGGAGATTCAGTAAACCAAAAACCCAATTGAAAGTTTGAGCAGCTAAAATTGGAAAATCAGTACAGCAGTCACTAAATGAACCAAGCAAAAAATGGGAATTGAAGTAGCTGACCAATGATCATGGAGTAATAAGATAATAAGACCACAAACATGGAGATACCAGTCAAACACAAAAACAGGAGGGATATGCAATGCATGATAGGCATGTCTCAAACCTTTCAATGCCAGTGGTCTGTCCGACAGTGTTTCTGTAAACATCACTATAAACTGCAATCAACAAGAAAATTCAGTATGCAGAAAGAACCTATCAGATCCAATCACTGAATCCCTGTCCCAAGATCTTTGGTGATCACGACTGCAACACCCTTTTTCCCTACCATATCTGCGGTCCGAATCCAGCTTGCGAAGACCCAGCTCATAGTATCGATCGTCCGCCTCGCGGCGAGTTTCCCCATTCGAAAGGCCAGGGATTTCATCAGGGAGTTCTATGGGATTTCCCAGCGGAGCCAGACTGCCTCAGGATCGCCCACGATCTTCAGGGAGGCAACCTCCGTGGCGAAGGTGCCTAGACGCCCGTGGATGGCGTGTTTGAGACGGGAGCTGGTACTGAACCAATTTGAGGTTCAACCAGTAAAGAAACAGGAACCAACAAGAATCACTATTCATCCATTAAAGACAGTATTCATTCAATCAAAAACTGTAGTTACCACAGTTTAACAATGTTTAACATATTTTAAGCAGTAAAAACGGGATGCATCTCCCCTTCTTCGATTTGAGCACTGCAAAAATTGAGGTTCATCACTGTTCATCAGTAGAGTCGCTTTACAACCTGATTATTAAAAAAAAACGTACTTACTATCCGAGATGATCTTTAGTGGATTTTAGTGGTACAGAAACTGGTTGGTGGTTAAGCCACCCAGTTGTTTGACATGGAAACCGGGAGGGTGGAAGTCTTGGAACCTGCCAGATCCAGGCAGGTTGCATGCTGAAAATCATATGTGCCGGACATCAGAGGGGATCACTTGTCGCTGCTGTTCGTGTATTTGTGGGAAAAAAATAATGTGGTTGTAAAACCTACACGTTCGGAGATAAACTCTATAATTCTGGCATACTATGGCCATATGCCCACGGAAATTATGTGGTGCTGCTCCAAGCAATGCGTAACAAGGTGCAGTACTTTCTGAAGTTGTACTCTTCCAGGGCATAGCGCATAGAATCCAAGATCCTGGGCCCATGAACACAGCCAGTCCCTGCTTAAGCAAAGGCGAGTATGCAGACTTTGCAGTGAGGATTCAATTTCAAGAAACCACACATTCTTTTGATCTTTATTGGGTGTTTTCCCCATTGTTTGGCCACATTGAAATGGGCATGTTTCATCATTTTTCTTGGTTTGATCACTGGTTTTAGCTGTCTTTCAGCGTACCTCTTCACCATCACTGGCAAACCAAGGCTCTGTTGCCTCACAGGATGGTAGTCCACACCTTGGTTGCAGTCCCCAGAACAGTTTCCACAGGTATCCAAGCCATTTATTTTCTGAAGGATTCCGAAGGTGGTTTTCAGCGTTTTGTAGCCCGGTACATTGCTGGGTTCCTAAGTTTCCGGAAATTCGGTGGGCATTGGCAGCGCAACTTGGAGCCACCATACATTTGGGTGTGGGTCATCAAACATCCCTGCTCAAAGTCGCGAAAGAGCATGTCAAGCATCGAGCCTCTTTTTAGGCAGTTCGGCTTTTGCGAACTCCACTGGCGAACCAAGTGCAACCCATGTTACTGGCTGAAACTATCTGTTGGATTCACCGTCCGAACCCTATAGGATGCCAATGTTTACAATCAAGAAGTCTGATGATGAATGTGGCACTCAGGTCGACTGGAATCAAATGCATCAAACAACTTGTTCACGTAAGATTCCATGGAGTGATCCTCAAAACACTCCGGCGTCAGGATGAACTCTTTCCAATGAAAATGCTGTCTGCTTGTGCTCAATACCCGCAAAGGCACCACATGCTCGTACTTGCGGGCCAAGTCTTGTACTGTCCGGAAATCAGGCCTCTCCAAGAGTGCTGTTGCCGTTGCTTCCACAGCTTTGGATGCCAACGTGCCCTGCAGTCTGCCAAAGGTGTCTTGCAGTCCTGGCTTCACAGCTAGTGTTGCTTGCTGGACAAAGTGCCGCAGGTTTAGTGCACCCCATGCCCGCGCGCATGGATCGTTGGCAAGTATGTAGTTGACAGCACGATCTCTTGCAAAATCCTTGAACTGCCTCAATTTCTGGGAGTTACCCCCAAACACCATGGGAGCACCAAAACCGAAACTCTGCAAGTCCATGGAAGACAGGATTTCACTCAAAGTGCCGCTGCCTCTGCTAACTTCTTCCCATGTCAAGAACAAACACATCTGGGCATACATGCCTCCCAAAGAGTGGCCAGCAAAAACAACCCGCGTCACACCTTGCTCGCGCACAGCCATCAGGTGATTCAAAAAGGCTTCTGATTTCAAGAATTTGGTGTTCCTGATCGTGCTAGCGGTGCCACCATGAGCAAAAAAATCTGCTTCACCTGTAATCTCATAATCATGTTCCAAATTCCAACTCAAGACATCGAGTATGTAAGAAGTGCCCTTGAACACGATAAACAATACCTTGCCAAGCGGCAATGCGGCAGTGACACTGGCTATTTTCACGGATCTTCCCAAATCGCCAGGCTGAATCACAGCGTGGACTTCGAAGGCTGCATGCGCCATCTGGGACGGTTCTGGGTCGTCAGTGTAGACCCATGAGCTCAGCATACATGCCACCAACTCAGCAAACTGCGGTGTCTGGTGAACATCACTCGTGTGCAAATCCAGGCCGAGCGGTGGGGCAGTGAACCCGGTATCTTCTCAGCATCACAAGGCACTGCCACCACTCGGCCATTCACTGAGCAACTGGACCAAAGTTTGTAGTTCCTGTCTGCCCTGATGCCTGCTGGCAGGTCCATGGCAAAAGACTCGCGAGAAGTAGGATCCACCACAAGGATCTTCTCAGCATGAGAAGGCACTGCCACCACTCGGCCATTCACTGAGCAACCAGATGCAAATTTCTGGCCCCTGTCTGCCCTGATGCCTGATGGCAGGTCTATGGCAAAAGCCTCGCGAGAAGTAGGATCCACCACCAGAATCTTCTCAGCATCATAAGGCACTGCCACCACTCGGCCATTCACTGAGCAACTGGACCAAAATTTGTAGTTCCTGTCTGCCCTGATGCCTGATGGCAGGTCCATGGCAAAAGACTCGCGAGAAGTAGGATCCACCACAAGGATCTTCTCAGCATGAGAAGGCACTGCCACCACTCGGCCATTCACTGAGCAACCAGATGCAAATTTCTGGCCCCTGTCTGCCCTGATGCCTGATGGCAGGTCTATGGCAAAAGCCTCGCGAGAAGTAGGATCCACCACCAGAATCTTCTCAGCATCATAAGGCACTGCCACCACTCGGCCATTCACTGAGCAACTGGACCAAAATTTGTAGTTCCTGTCTGCCCTGATGCCTGATGGCAGGTCCATGGCAAAAGACTCGCGAGAAGTAGGATCCACCACAAGGATCTTCTCAGCATGAGAAGGCACTGCCACCACTCGGCCATTCACTGAGCAACTGGACCAAAATTTGTGGCCCCTGTCTGCCCTGATGCCTGCTGGCAGGTCTATGGCAAAAGCCTCCCGAGAAGTAGGATCCACCACAAGAATCTTCTCAGCATGAAAAGGCACTGCCACCACTCGGCCATTCACCAGGCAACCAGATGCAAATTTCTAGTTCCTGTCTGCCCTGATGCCTGATGGCAGGTCTATGGCAAAAGCCTCGCGAGAAGTAGGATCCACCACAAGAATCTTCTCAGCACGAAGAGGCACTGCCACCACTCGGCCATTCACTGAGCAACTGGACCAAAATTTGTAGTCCCAGTCTGCCCTGATGCCTGATGGCAGGTCTATGGCAAAAGCCTCCTGAGAAGTAGGATCCACCGCAAGAATCTTCTCAGCATGAAAAGGCACTGCCACCACTCGGCCATTCACTGAGCAACTGGACCCAAATTTGCAGTCCCTGTCTGCCCTGATGCCTGATGGCAGGTCTATCGCAGAAGCTTTCCCAGATGCGCTTTGTCCCATGGCTCCTGATGGACTAGATTCAAGTTCTTTATTTCCCTAAACAAATTCGCTATGCAGCAATAAAGATATCCTGTTTGCAAGAAGGAGTTCGAACACAATTTATCCCTGGTGATAATCGAATCACAAATCCCATCATTTCCTTGGAAAAATCTGGATTTCTGGGTCTGCCTGCAAGCGAGTCATGGAGCCAGGACTTGTGGACACGAGCCAGAATCATGGATACAAAGACAAGACTGGGCATGAAACGTTGTGGACTCACGGCCTGTTTTGACCTGTGAGAACTGGCTACTGGAAGATGTGTGGAGTATACCTGGTGGTTGTGTGACCTGATGTCTGGCATGATATGATACGTCCTTTTGTTCAAAGAAACCCAAGGTTTAACGATCAATTGCGCGGTAGACAGAATTGTTTGCCAATCCATAGTTCCAGTGTTGGTTGTATATCCACCCATGATTTTTCTACAAGCAGATTGCTTACTCCGTCTCCATCTTGCTGGAGTGGATTTGAAGATAAGGCGCCAGTGCCTGCGCCGGAGCCTCCCTCCGGAGCTCCTGGCAAGTCGAGCTGGTATGTTTGGTCACGACTCTACGGGATGCCCCACCATCCCCCATTGGACAGGAAATGGGTTGTGTAACTGGGATGATCAAAATTGGTGGTTCATTATTGGTCTTATCACATTACACTAAAATTCAGCCATCAATTTTGTGTTGATGATATAGGCCAACTTAAATTACACCAATCCAAGTTGGGGTGGACCCTCGGCCAAAAACCCGGAGTTTGATTCGTTGTATCCCCGTAGATATTGGTAAATTGATTTCCACTGCAACAACCTGATCCGGGTGATTGCTGTACTTCACCTAACCTCAATGAGAATATGTATTATATATATAATTATATATATATAACTGAAACCAAGGCATTCCAGTGTGGAACCCTCATGTATATAGCTAGGTATGTATCTATATTCTGCAGATACATATATTACATTGCTTTACGCATCCCATCCCATGCCATACCATGCCATACCATGCCATACCATGCCATACCATGCCATACCATGCCATACCATGCCATACCATACCTACCATTCCATACTATGCATACCATCGCAGTTCCAACATATCATACCATTACATCACATACTATTACATAGCAGTACAGTAAATTACATTCCATTCCATTCCGTTTCATTACATTGCATCGCACTATATCTAGATATCAAATTACATAGAACTAATAGGACCACGGAAGTTGATCATTCCACCTCTCCTGGGCCGTCGAAGGATTTGGTGTACTTGGCGCGACCGCCATTGGTGGGGTTAGACCCATAGCCGCCGTCGCCGCTGAAGTTGAACCTGGGGGCGCAGGCGAATCCAACACCCAGGATGGAGAAAAGAATCAGTTCTGATAAAGTCAATGAAGATGCGAAGATTCTAGAAGATCTATGAATATCTACATATATGTGTATACTATCATGTGTATACTATATATAATGTGCATGCTGTATATAAGTATGTCATATACATATATTTACACATGTGCGTGCAGTTCCAGTACACCATGAGTGTGTCCCGAGCTGGAAGTGCCCACCACACATCCTTTGAAGTAAGTCTGGTTGGTGGGTCAACCCATCCCCAAAAAAATGAAACTCTGAGCCAATGGGATGGATTTAAAAATAGAGAAAAGTTTAAGTGTTCATGCTGAAACTGTGTTTTTGTAGTCTGAGCGAATGGGTTTCATGATGCAAGAAACAGAAAAAAAGCAGAGACCACACCAGAGAGAGAAGAAGTTCCTTCCCATCATCGGTCACCAGGGTACTTCATGGGCTCTTAGGAGAACTTTTCATGTTTCAAGGCATATACATATACATGAGATATTGCAGCACAGACCCAAAACATACTATGATACATTGCACATCACATCATACATACATCTCTGTGTATAATATATATATATACATACATATATACATATATCATATATATATATATATGTATACATTATATCTTATCCTATATTATATCCTATATGATATCCTATCTATGTATATATCTATATATATACACATATATCTGTGTGTGCGTATCCTCTATATATGTATATATGTATACGTATACAAATACAGCTGTTATTTTTCTCTGGGATGGCCATCAAATTCCCTATGACTGCAACCGTGGAACTGATGACCCCACCAGATGTTGAAGGCGCCGAAGTCTGTCTGGCACCTGGCACAACGAGACACGTCGACGCGCGCCCGCTATGTCCATGTCGTTCAAGGTCTTGTGAAAAGATGAATACTCACAGGACAGCTGTTATATAAATGTATCAATAGTAACTTTACAGAACTATACGATATAGATATACAGCATCAACAATAGTGAAAATGATAGCAGTACGAAGTAGTAAAGATAGCAATAATAACAATAGGAATAGTTATGAAAAGATGATAATTACTATACGTCATCTATAGTAACAATGAGGCAATAATCTAACAGTCGTGGTAGTCATCATGATACACATCGACTGAATCAACCGGCTGATCCATGGTTGAACACCACATGCCTTTTTTAAGCAGGCAACGGCAAAAAAAAAGTTGAAAGAAAGAAATTGTCAACTATGAAAAATAAAAATATTGCAAACCACAACCTAGACAACCCGCGGTTCTGTCTTGAGCATTGCACGGAACCCTACAGGATACCAGTATATTTCGTTCGTAAGACTGTGGTTTTCAATAGAGACGGTTTATATAAATCGAAATTGTCTTTGAATCAACCGCAGGTCTTAAACCCATTGATATATATATATATAATATATATATATATATATATGCATATATCTATATACATATATATATATATATATGTATACATATATACCCATTCAAACCCATCTAAACCCATCCAACTCCCATGGTTTACCAAGCCATATTTCACCGCCCATCCCACGCCTGGAATACTTGGTGGCCGAGTAGAGCCAGGCATCGCCTCCGGCGTCCTTGTGACGGTCGAAGAGCATGATGTTTTCGTTCTTGTGCAGCATGTACCTTGCGGATTCATGGGGATTCACTGGGGGAAAGATCCATGAACTATTATGGATTCCTGCAAAAACTGGTGATTACATGGGGATGCATGAGGGAAAAGATGAATGAACCATCAAAAAATGGTGACTATATATATATATATATGATTCTATGATTCTATCAATCATCATGGGGATTGATTAAGGGATATTACATGTCAAAAAATTGGCATTGGTCAACCATCCAAAAAAATGTTAAAGATGGGAATACAATTTGTATTGATTCATGTGGATTAGTTAAGGGATCAACCATCAAAGATGGGGATGAAGAATGAAGATCATCAAAAAATATCATTTGGATGGTTATTGGAAATACCGGCATACCATTTGGGTGGGTCCTAAAATGACCCAACTCATTGGCTCATTGGGAAGATTTACTGTATGAGGCCGAAAAGGGTGAATGATGTTACCGCCAACAACCAGCATGTACCTTGGGGATTCAAGGGTATTATATTTAACCATTTAACCATCAAAAAAATTGAGATGTTCTGTGGAGATGGACCATAATCATTGGATATACCATTTGGGGGTTCCTAAAACGGCAAAAATCCTCAATCATTGACAATAATAATCATTGTATTTTCCATCATCCTCAATCAGTACCCTCCAGTAAACTAATAGGAGATCTGGGGCCAAGAAACTAAGATGGGGAGACATCCAAAAATTGGGGAACCTGAAGTGATCACCCAAGTTACCAGCTATTTTTGGGGGGACCAATGGTGAAGAGGGTACCCCAAGTCGAAAAACACCCATATTGAGATACATGTGATCAGGCATGGTGGAAAAAATACCTGGCAGGTGAGGGTGTGTGATATGGCGAAAGACAACATGGTGATTTGGGATAGATCCGAAATATAGGCGTATGCTATGGGTACCAGTTGCATATTACAACTTAAACACACATCTTATTCGAACAACGATCGTGTTCAGGTTCCCGTCTTTGTCGCCAGCCCCATCTTCAGTCGTCACAACCAAGTTGCTCCATCGCCATCTTCACCCCATAGAAGCCACCACCTATCAGTTTAGCAAGGCCCACGACCCCATGGGGGTGGGGATGGGGTTGTATTGGTCCATGGATTTGAGGGAAATGTGCGCAAACCATCAAGTCATAAGCGCCAAAATGCCAAAAGATGATTTTCCAAAAATTAATTCATCATTGTTTTAGTTCGATGTTCTTGTCTTTTTGGGTAACTATAGCCTGGCTCTGCCGGCACCGTTCAACCTAGCCCCGGTCCCCTGGACCCCTGGACCCCTGGACCCCTGGTCCCACCGATGATGCACACAGGATGAGGCCAAGCATACCGCGCATGCTGGAAATCCTCGCGAAGTGCGGTGGCTGTTGTTGCTCTGTTTTATGGGAAAAACTGGATGTGGCAAACCTAATAAACAGAACCATCCCCAATCTCACCAGAAAGGTATGGAGCATCAAAAATTGTGGGGTGGTATTTTATTGGTTTTACCACATGATGTTTGTTTTTTTAATGATATGGGCATTCTGGTGATATAATGGTTATTGTGGTTGTTATCATGGTGATTTCAGCAACCCCACCGGATTGATTCATCGTGGGTGGGTAAACCAACAACGAGGGTATAGCCACCTTAAAAACATATGCAGTAACCAATCTATACATACCCGGCAACCAATCTGGGATGATCCAATGATGACTTCCGTAGAAACAATGTTTGGAGTCGGTGTGGTATATCATGGTATACCATTTCCATTCATCTACATATATATATATATATAGTTTGTTGAACGGGAAGTTCCTCACTTTCTTTGGCAACCAACCAGTGGCAAAAGGACATGATGGTGGAGAGTTTCACCGACGAAATGGGGATTTTATCCAGAAGTCAGGACTTTTGTCAAGGTAAATAAGACATTACCAGTGACAAACAAATAACGAAATACATGGACATGTGACACGTTTATGTATTTATATTGGCTATATACAGTACTTAAGATACCTCAAGATATAGCTGTCAACAATAGCGATTGATACCAACAAAAACGATCTAGCCGGCACAGACTGAGAATGCATCAACAAACACCAAGTAAAAAGCAAACATTTGGTCACGTTGGTACAGACCATTCGGGAAAATCTTGGATGTGAGGGTGGTTTTGCCACCTCAAAGCGGACAAACAAACGTTAGACAACTTGACGACATGTACAATTACGTTCTGATAGCTGCTACAAAACACAACAATTGTCATTGGTTCTATCCGTATCTGGTGTTTTATGATGTTTTGTGTAGGTGCAGGTTGCTGGTCATATAACCATTTGTGTTCCTTCCATATGTTCCTTCTGACCTGTTTGATCTATATATATATACATATATGAATTTCTTATAGGTTTTAGTGCTGGCCACGTCCTTATTTATGTTTGATGGATCCACGTTCTTGCAAGTTCTATCTCAATTGTTGTGAGTTGCATCACCGGACCCATTAAAACATGGGGAAAACAATGATAAACTATGGTCCCCCAACTAACATAGACAATGAATATCACCTATGTTCAGAAAGTTGTCCTCCAACCACCAACTCAGGGCAGGGTCGTCATGTGAGTTGGGGGGATGGTAATTTCATGTAAAACATTGTAAAACTAGTTTTTCTTCACCCATAAATCATATCAAACTGTTTATACTTCCATTACACTCCATTATAGTTATAATCGATCGTATCCCATTATTTCCCCATCACATCCACTAAATATCCTCCATCACAGATCCCCAGCAAAAATCCCCATTTTTGTCCATGAAATCCCATGATTTCCTCCCTAAAATCACCATGGGAAGACCGGATCTCCTGCAAGCCATCGATGACCATGGCGCTGGGCACCGTGGCATCGGCCTTCAGCGCTGTGCCCTCGGGTGTCAAGGCGGTCAACCTGGCACGCGGGACGGCCAGGGACCCGAGTCATTGTGAAACTGGGCTACATAGCCTCCGGGTCATGGGGATATGATAGGGGTTAACTGGGGCTCAATGGGATTTTATGGGACTTCATGGAGTTTGATGGGATTCAAATGGGGATATTGTCGCATGTGATGGGGGAAATGTTGGGATATAGTTGATGATCGAAGGAAGTTTAGAAGTCAAACTTCCGACAATATGGACAAATGAAAGCAGGGATGGGAAGAGTCAGAGAGAAGAGAAGAGTAGAAGAGAGAAGATCAGAGAAGAGAAAGAATCAGAAGAAAGAAGATGCAGACGCGCGAAAAGGTAGGAAAGTCGCGAAACACTG